GGAAGGTGTATCTGTACACTGTGCTTAATCCTGAGAGAGGACACTCTTCCCTCACAATCTGAGTATTTTAGGTCCAGGAGGAGCTTTTTGAAGCAAATTCTCGTGGGGTTGTTCCCTGGGGTTGAGCAAACATTAGTTATCCATACAAACTTTGGCAGTCATGTTTAGGCCAGGTCCCTTGAACTTGCCTGGGCCTAATCAGCTACCTGTGGAAGGTCAGGATGTGGAAGAGGAGACCTGAGCTAAAGAGAATGCCCTCTGGGAGCAGCTTCTTAATAAGGATACATAGTTTTTTGTTTTTTTATCCCATGAATATTTTTCTCTGGGCCTCAAAGTTCTAAAGAGCCCACAACTCTCACCCCTCAGTGCCTTTCATAACTGGATAAGTCATGTCCCAGAATTTGCTTCGGCAACTCTCATCTAGCTTCTGCACAGGCCACATTTTTACATTTAATTTTCTCAAGCCCTCCTTGGGGAGAAAGAAAGAGGGACAGTCTATTGTTTAGATGTCACTGGGTCTGAGGTGAAACCAGGCCTTGTTGGGCAGAGGCAGGGCAGGTAGGGCGAGCAGAGACTTTTGAGTTTCCAAAAGGCAGAGGACAATATAAGTCAGGGTAAGAAGAGGTCTGATTTCAAAGGGAAAGACACCAGGTGGAAGCATGTCTGCTCAAAGGCTGGGATAAGAGAGCTGAAGGCCCACATAGACAGGAAACCAGGAAAGGAATACTACTACCTCTCTGTTACCTCTCTGGATCCAGGAGAACAGTTGGGATGTTGCCTTTCCTTCTCTACACTGTAGCAAATCATGTTCTCCAAAAGAGCTCAGATGAATTGGGGAAATCCCTGATTTCTGTCTTCAGTGGGTGTCCCAGCATCAGGCTCATGAGAAATTTTCTGACATCTCAGGGATGCATAATGAGGGCTTCCAGCCTTGGGAGCACATTCTAAGGACTACCCTCTCAACTCAAAAACTAAACAAACAAAAAAAAAGGTCAGAAGGGCAAATGCTTTGGGATCTCAGTAGGAATCATGTGCTCAAAGGCTGCTGTGGCCTGTATATAAGTGAGAGCCATGATGAGGGCAGGAGGAAGGGGTCCAGGATGTGGTGAAAACATCCCCAGATCCATGTGTGGGTGCTGGGAGTTGGCAGGTCCTCTCCTATACTGGGCAGGAAGGACAGCCCTTGATGCAGATGTGCTCCTGCATCCAGTGCTCCAGCTCATGCCCCGGGAAAACAGGATCTGCATGGGAAGAGGAGAGGTTCTTGCTCTTGAAGAAGACAAGTTCAGCTCAGACTTTGTTTCCTGGTCATTCTAAGTGGTCCCTCCTGCCTCCTTATAACTTCTGGACACTGGGATCTCATAGAAGCTGCCTGAGCTTGGGCTCCTTCAATTTTCCAGGTTCTTTCTAGTGCATGCACTGTCAGTGTTAAAGAGAAATGCAGCCCCCTAGTTGGCACCATTCCTACTAAAAGCCCAGGAACAAGTCTAGATTAACTTCCTGAATTCATTACAATTTGAAACTCTTCAAGAAATTTAATCAAACATTCTGTAATTTCTGGTGAACACCACTGTGGTAATGTCACATGGTCTCTCTCCCTGGAATAAGAGAGATGTTTAGGCATCACATTGCAGGAGGTAAAGAAGACCATGCAGAAAAGTGGTCTCTCTATTTCTCTGTTTTTCTCTCTCTATCTCTCTCTAGTCTCAATTTCAAAAGATCCAATTTGTGACCAGTGCACCATGGGACATCTTATAATATTGCATAGATTTACCAAATATACCAAATATTAGTACACTTTCAAATCTTTGAAAGGGAAAGTGTATCTCTGCACTATGCTTAATCCTGAGAGAGGACACACTTCCCTCACAATCAGAATGAGAGTTTGAGGCCTAGAAGGAACTTTTTGAAGCCAAATAGCATGTGTTGTTCCCTGGGGTTGAGCAAACATAACTGCCAAAGAATCCATTCATTCTTTGGCAGTTAGGTTTAGGGCCAGAACCCTGGAACTTGCCTGGACCTAATGTGCTACCTGTGGAAGATCAGGGTGTGAAATAGGAGGCCTGAGCTAAAGAGAATGCCCTCTGTGAGCAGCTCCTTGATAGGGATACTTAGGGCTTTTGGTCCAGGTTTATTTTTCTATGTGCCTCCAAGATTCAAAAGAGCACACGATTCTAGCCTCTCAATATATTTTATAACTGGGTAAGTCATTTCCCAGGTTTCACTAAACGCCTCTCCTCTGGCCTCTGCATAGCCTATATTTTTACATTTAATTTTCTCAAGCCAGTTTGCTGAGCTCATCTGGTTCTTCTGGAGGAAATGGCCTTTTCCTCCACACAGGGGGTGGTGATTGAACCTCCTGCCTGTACTCCCATAAGCGTGGGTTTAAGGGATCCACCCATTTCCTTCTTAACCACCAGCCTTTTCAGTTCTCTAGTTCACCCAGTCAGAGCCTGTGAGTTTCCCAAGGGTGCACTTCGTTTTGGCTCATTTTCTTGGTCTCATTGCAAATTTGTACCCCTCCCTTCTGATCAATTACTGGATGTGATTTTGGCTCTTGCTCCTTACGGAAGGCTTGATCCTCAAAATCTGGAACAACAACTGTCCCTCTGTTTCTCTTTGAATAGGCATGAGTTTGCAGTTGAGGTAACATCACGTGTTAGGGACTGTTTGGTACTCAATGCTTTTGCATTGTAGTCCTTTTTTCTCTTGAGAGGATACCCTGTCTGCCTAATGGTGTATTACCAGGAATACTAGGGAATTTTTATGTGGTACCAACAACCCATCAAATCTACTTCCAGTTTGGTTTCATTTTATTTTCCTATTATGAAAGGACCTAGGATTCATTTGGAGGTGTGCAGAGTGCAAAACCCAATCAGGTAAACTGCCTGGAGAACCAGTACTAAGGTTCAGCTTTCAGTTGGAAGTTGCCATTTCAGCTAGGATGTCAACAGGAAGGTGTGGCCAGATGGGGTATAATGGTTTCTGAGGAGGCTGAGGGACCAGAGGCAAGAGCAGGAGAGACACTGCCCAGGTTTGAACAAACGGCTCTTGCATCATACCCAGACTGGTGAATCATAAACTTAAGGTGGTTCCCCATGTCCCACAGATAATTGTGGTTTATTTCCTCATAAATGAACTGAAGTTGCCTTTGCCAGTAGATGCAGGCTAGACTTAATCCAAAGGTTTTTATTTCTGTTTTGATGTGTACGATTCATAAAGCTTTTCAGGGCAAGTTTCCATGGTGTCTGAAAGTAGAGCATTCCCAAGGAACTTTCTGCAAATCAAAGTGGCAATATCCCTTTTGGATTTTTTGGAGGCCAGGCTATGTGTCTAACAACAGGTCTTAAGGGAGTTCTTTAATAAAAGCCAAGTGATGTTCAGAAAGGGAGGAAGGGAGAAAGAGAGAGAGGAACATCATCCATCAACTGGCTCCTGCCTCCTCTGTATTGCAGTTTGGAATGGAAACTGCAAATGAGCTTTGGGTGCAAGGGGGAATGCCCAACCAACTGAGCAACACTGAAGAGGGCTTGGAGGAGGCTTAGTTGTGGCATGTGAGCCCTCTGTTTTCATGAATAAAGTGGTCATTCTAATATTCATAGAAGGGACACACAATAGATGTACATCTCAAATTAATGGTCATTTTTCTCATCTCTAGCTCCCCCATTCTATGAAAACTTTTGTTCTACTTTTACTCTTTTAAAATATATCAGAAGACACAAGGTATGCATTGTGTGGCTGTTCTTTAATCTTTCCCATCCATTTAATTTGTTGTAGCTTAGCAAGAGATGTGATGGACCAGGGGCTGCTGCCTACTCCAGGGGCTTTCAGTCCTTCAGCAATAATAAGAAAGATTTCTCTGAAAACGGTGGAACCATCTCTCTGGTTTCCCAGTACTGATTGCACAGCATAATTACAGGTAGGCAGTGAGTAGATGTGGGAGGTGTGCAGTGGTCATCTCACCACTCCTTGGTGCCTGATGAGGTACAATATATATACTGCCACCAGCCTAGGATGAGTGGCCCCTAAGGAGAAGATAGGATTGGGGTATGTTGGGACATTCCAGTTGTTGCCAGAGCAGTGTCTTTGGCCCTCAGCTGGTTCCTCTGAAGGGAGAGGTAATGGGGTTGCTCATGCTTCGCCTGACATGGTGCCTTGCTCCTGACAATTTCCCAGAATCTCCTTCAAAGCCATTTCTTCAGGATAAACACTGAGGCTCCACTCAGACTGGACCTGGCATGCCAGAGCCTGCTGAGGGATGAAGCCTCGGCCATTGCTGCAGTGGAGTGGCTGCCTATGGAGCTCTTCCCATCTGTGTTCACAGCAGCCTTGGCTGGGAGGCACAGCAATGTCCTGAAGGTTCTGGTATAGGCTTGGCCCTTCCCCTGCCTCCCTCTGGGGGCCCTGTTGAACCATCAGCAGCCTTACCATGATATCTTGCAGGCTGTGCTCGATGGGCTAGATGCCCTGCTTTCCCAGGAGACTCTACCCCGGTGAGGGGGATTCAGTGGCCTTGTTAGGTCCTGGCGGTCTGAGCAGTTACAGCTGGGATATAGGATTGTATAGGGCCACCGAGAGAGCTCAGGGAGGCCTTGGAGCCACTGCTGGGGTCATTCTGGGAACAGGCTTCAGATATATAGGGCTGATGAAGATGAGAGGGTGACAGGAAGGACATGAAACCCCCTTCCTGGTGGCACTGAAAGGTACCAGAAATGGGGACCACAAAGGATCCCAGTAGTGCAAGGAGCATCTGATTTCTGGAGTAAGGAGTAAAAGTCCCATCAGGTGTCTGGCCCAGCTGTCAAGATTCCCGGACTCATGGCCATGGTCTTATTTCTTGATATCTTAATGTACCCCTATCTACCTCCTATTTTCTTCGCAGACAGTGGAAAATGCAGATGCTGAATTTACAAAAGGGAGCTCATCAGGAGTTCTAGATTGTGTGGGCCGGAACCAGAGCTTATGTGTGCTCACTGCTGGATCCTGAGGCCTCACAGCCGATGAGGAGGAGGGGGAAACTGGACAGCTTAAGAACGGGGCCAAAGCTACCCTTGGCCCCCATGGAGGAGTTAGTAGCCCTTTGCCTCAAGAGAAGTGTCCTTGATGAATCCCTCAGTTACCTTCTTAAGAAAGTCAGCCAGAGGAGAGGTTTGCTGCACCTTTGCTGTAAGAAGCTGAAGGTTTATACTGTGTCAAAGGAAAACATTAACATCCTGGGTATGGTGCAGCTTAACTCTATCCAGGATTTGAAGTTAAATTGTACCTGGAAGCTGTCCACTCTGAGGAAGTTCACTCCTTTCCTGGGCCAGATGGGCAATCTGCGTCGGTTCCTCCTCTCCCATGTCTTTACGTCTTCTCACACCACCTTGGAGCAGGAGGAGCATTGTGTTAGCCTGTTCACCGCTCAGTTCCGCAGGCTTTCCTGCCTCCAGGAGCTGTATTTGGATGATGTCTCCATCCTCAAAGGCCGATTGGACCAGATCCTCAGGTGAGGGATGGTGAGGTTTCTCTGCAGACCAGAGCAAGCCCCTTTTCATTTCATTCTACAGTGACAGGACCTCCTATGTGCCATTCATCAGCAGTGCTTTAGAGCCTGAGTCACTAGAGTGTCCACACAGTCAGTGTCTTGTTCACTCCTCTGTCCCCTTGCATGTTGTCAGTTAACTACTCCCCCATCCAACAGACAAACGTAGGATTTATGAACTAAAAAAGATGCTACTAAAGAGACTTCTTACTTGGAATGTAAGTAATGGGGGGTTTGGGTGAGGTGATGGGAGGTTCGGAATTCTAAGTGGTGTGTAAGGGAAGATTGTGCAATGGAATCTTAAGGATGACAGTGAGTAGAGGATAGCCCATCAGAAGTGAGGTTTCAGGGATTTAGGTCCACACTTACCGATTTGGTGATGGCAGCCTTTCAGTACAAACCTGCTTCTAATCACCTGTTTGCCAAGGCTTGCCAAAGGCTCCTGCTAAGGAATGCCTCATGAATGCAGGATTCTGGATGGAGGAATCATGAAAAGTAATAGGTATTTTGTAGAAGATGCAGCAATCTAAGTTCCTGCAGGATGGCAGCTCCAGCTGGATGATACCCAACCATGTACAGATTAGCCCTTTCTGCAACTATGCCAGTAGCCTTATGGGCTAAGAGATGAGGGTTACAAGAGTCCATGCTGTGGCTCGTAGGAAGCCAAAATGGATGACATGTTGGTTCCTGTCTCCAAAACTAAATTTCACTGGTTGCCTACTGCTTGAGCTCCTTTCTGAGATCCTCTCATCTCTACCTCCCATCATTCATGCTCACAACACCTGTGTGTCTGAGGTTGGGTGTATGGTGACAGATGAACAAATGAAGGGTGTGATGTTTCATGGAGCTGAATCCCTCGCAGAGCAGGTAGGAGATGGAGAAAGGATTCCACTCAAATTGCACTAACTGAATCACACTTTTCACTGTGCAAGGTCCTCGATGTGATCATCATCTGGAAGACCTGACACTAAGGTGACATGGGCCTCTTTGCCTTAAGGCCTGTCTCATGCTCACTTCCCTCTGTCTAACCATTCCACCACCCCCCTCACCTAACTGCTCTGTGTCTCCCCAGCTGCCTGAAGACCCCCTTGGAGACTCTGTCCATCACTAGCTGCATACTCTTAGAAAGTGACTTGAGACATCTCTCCCAGCATCTGAATGTCAGCCAGCTGAAAGTCCTGAATTTACGGAGGCTCAACTTGACCAACATCAGTTCTGGCCCCTCCAATTGCTGTTAGAGAGAGCCTCCTCCACCTTACAGGACTTGTACTTGGATGAGTGTGGGATCATGGACTCCCAGTTCATGGACCTCCTGCCTGCCCTGAGCCACTGCTCTCAGCTCATGACCCTAAGCTTCTGTGAAAACACCATCTCCATGACCATCCTGGAGGACCTGCTTCGCCCCACCATCAGACTGAGTGGGCTGAATTGTATACTGTATCCTGCCCCCCTGGAGAGTTACAGGAAAGGAGCAACAACATCATCGACCTGGGCCTACTTGCCCACTTGCATGCGGGGCTGTAGCATATGCTTCAGGAGTTGGGGCGCCCAGGCATGTTCTGGTTCTGTGCTTACCCCTGTCCTCTCTGTGGCTATAGAACCTTCTATAACCCAAACCCCATTCTGTGACCTTGTTACAGGCCTGTCTAGCTGGGTGCAATCTCATAGGCTTTACTCTGGGCCCTTGGACACTGATGCCCAGACTTAAGTGAATCTTAAAGGAATCCAGCAGCCATTTTCACACAACTACTCAGTGATGGGGGGAGATGCGTACTGGGGGAGATGTTTTCTTTGGGGAGATGGGTCCTAAGGAGTTAGAGATGTGCACCTGAATCTCTAGGGAGGTGGGATTCAGGCTTGGCAGGTAGAAGGAAGATTATCTTTGTTTAAATGGTTGTGAATAAATATCAGTAATAAAGGAAATTAAATGTGAACCATTTGAAGTCCCCTATGATATGTTAACCCAATTCTACCATCTGCTGGTCCAATAAGAGGGCATGAGCATCTGTGATGCACAAACACTAGTGTGGTGAGGTTGGTTCCAGCAGCTCCATCACCACTTATCCTTTCTGGTTTGGAGGTTATTCTGGGCCCCAGTACCTCTTCCCTTAGCTCTGTGACTGTTCAGTGGATCAGCCCACAGAAGGGGCATCCACATGGACTGGAACAAGTGGCCTCCCACTAGCACCACTGAACTACAACTTTTTAATGACCATGTTTTAAAACACTCCTCCCCACTGGGAGCGTCCATCACTGGCCTGTGGCCACTCCATGGTAGAGCTTCTCTGTGCACAAGTCAGGTCCCCAGTACTGGAAGGGATATCATCCTGCCAGCTAGTCAGAGGCCTGAACTTCCAAATCCAAACCTGTCATCCCCCTGGATCCAGCCCTTGCTTGAATTCCAATACTTGTGGCCAGTAAACAGAGTTACATTCCTTTCACCAAAATGCTAAGCTGGCATAAACCTTTGCTTAAAATCTGTGTCCCTTACTAATATGAAACCCTTTGTGGAGGCTAGGTCATAATGTGAGAAGGCTCTCTCCACATGATCTTCATTACTATCAGTCAAGGCTGTTTTAAATTAACTCTGAGCAGTGAGTTTTGTGTTTGATGTGTGGCCCACTCCAAGCCATTTCTGGGAGAGAAATTAAGTGGACACAGGTGAAGGTCACTCTGGCGAGTTGGGGGTTTGGAGGGCCACCCTGAGGGGCAATTCAACCAAGTGAAAGGAAGAAGTCATATTGTGTGGTTGGATTCCTATAGTCAAAGGACAGTCAGCTGCCCAGCAAGAAACAGGCATTCTGCTCACATGCCACTGCATTCTGGCCCTGGGCAGTCTCATTTGGCTCACTGAGCACTCAGCCATAGGAGCACGTGGGGAGAAGTCCACACACCTAGGCCCAGAGGCAGGCCTTCACGTGTTCCTCTCATCTTCCTTAATGTGCTATTTCTGTCTCTCACTCAGTGCCAGCCACTCATGTGCTTGATGCTCTCTGCTGGGTATCAGCAGCTTCACAGCTTGCCACACACAGAACCGGCCCTTCTTTCTTTTTATTGCCATTACTTTATTTTCTTCTTCCTTCCTCTCTTCTAGTTTGGGCCCATCATCTTGGAAACATATTTCTTAAGTACAGTTTTTAATAATTTCAGAGAGAAAGGGAGAGGGAGAGATGGATAGAAACCGCAATAAGGAGACACAATGATTAGTTGGCTGTTTCCTGTATTCTCCCTGGGATCAAGGCCTCAACTTGGGAGCCTGCTCCAACTGAGAATTGAACTATATCCTCTTGGATCATAGGTCTAGTGAGCCACAATATACTACCTCTATAGAGGAGAAATGTTGAGATATGTGTAACAGATGGTGAGTCTCCCAAACCCCATGAAAGAGGGTCAGAGAACAAGATTATCTCTTAATCAAACACTCTTTTTCTGCTTGCACCTTGTCATCCTATCCCTGCTTGACAGGGACTATGTCCATAATAGGAATCAGAACCTCTGGAATTTGAGGGAAAGTATAAAAATGGGCAGGTTTGTGGGGAAGAAGGGCATGGGCTAAACATCTCATGATCCGGATGTTGGTTCCTCACCACACATAGAGGCCATGCCCCATTACATTGTGGTGATATTCACCTGTGGGGCTAACTTATGTAAAGCACTTGTCAACATGTCCTGTTCTGGACTTGTCCACTGTTATTAGCATTAATAGTGATTATGAGCCACTTATAGTGATTATTAGCCAGGATAAGGAAGAAAAGTGAAAGTTAGTGACCCTGGCCAGCAGGGCTAAGCATTGTCCTGTGAATGACAAAGGTCATCTGTTTGATTCCTGGTCACGGCACATGTCCAGGTGGCAGGTCTGGTCCCCAGTCAACCATTAATATTTCTGGCTTACATGAATCCATGTTTCTCTGTCCGTTTCTCTCCATTCCTTTCTCTCTAAAAAATGAATTTAAAAACACACCAAAAAACAAGATGAAACAAATGAAAACTCATTGCTGCATGTTGTCTCTGAACGGGTCTCTTGAACTTGACACTTCATTTGTTCTGGAGACAACAACTGGTTAATCCAGCAAAATTATTTATTTTGATGAACTTTTCCATCAAAATGCAGAAAAAGACATAGTATCAGGGCAAAGAGGCTTAGCAAGTGCATGTTTATATAAAGACATCATCTGTGAAGATGGGCACACAAGGGCCCTGGGTAGGTGATGACTGCTGGTGCACAGGGATCCTGTACATGAAGGTTGTATGCATGGGGGTCTCCAGGCCATCGGAAAGCAAGCAGGGAGAGTAAGGCACAATAGTCGGTTGCTTACTATTGAATGTATCCCAGATTCCACCAATCTGCACTGTAGTCAGGAAGGTTGGATTTAGGACAGCTGGGTGACAAAGATGACAAAGGGAAAACTCAGAATAAAAAAGCCAAATCCTAGTCCACTTGGCTCGGGGTTCAGTTTTGACCTGTAAATCAGGAGTTCAGGGTTCAATGCCCAGGTTGTGGGCTCCAAGCCCAGTAAGTGTTTTTTAGGAGGTAGCCAACCCATGATTCTCTCTCACCATTGGTGGTTCTAACAATTTCATTCCTCTCTGAAAACAAATAAAAATAAATATATTTAAATGTATGTTAATAGCTTGGTTTGATTCTACAATATCCATTTAAGAAATAGAAGGAGGAGTCCTTTTCCTTGGTCAGAATTTTTATGATTTTTCTCCTTCTCCTTAATCTTCCTTTTTAGCCAATTCCCTATAGGATTTATATAATGTGATCTATTGTATGCTGGGAAGTTTTGCATTGTTTGCCTTCTTCTACTTCTCTGCACCAAATGTGCTATCAATTCAAACCTACATTGGTTAAAATTCAGCTGAGTAAATGTTACATCCAAGTGGTTTTATTAAGTGTTTCATCAGCATACAGGTGGCAATGTAAAGGGGCTTAGTGAGCCAAACCCAACAGGGCTTATTCCCTCACTACCCCCAATCTGACATATTGGACTTTAAAATCCTTAAAAAAACTGAGGCTCCAGCTTTCAAAATTTTCAAAGAACTTCACATACAGCATTCGAATAAAAGTACTTTTAAGAAATGGCACATTTTGTGTTAATTTTTAAAATTCACATTAGAAGTGTTATTGATAACTATACACTCAACAGGCAAATACGTGAGTTTTAAAAAATCTTACCAATGAGATGTTGTTCACATACAATGATAAATATAACGAGGCTTCAGGTAACTTGATGTTTAGGAGAGCACACCCTTTTTAGTACATTAAATGTAAAACAGTTGAAGAGAAGTGCATGAGTAATTCTACAGTAAAATACATGTCACTACTGAGGGGCACGTTTGTCCATGTCATTCAGAGGTATAGTCGGGAAAGATAACTGGTTCGGTTTAAGTGACAATCTCTGTTTCAATTTTATTATTCCCATTTCAGAAAGCTGCTGATGCCATTCAATAAGCAAAAGGATGCTTACATTAAGACTTCTTCAAACATTTATTTCATTCTGTATGTAATTTTTCTCCCTACTTTATTCCATTAAATGTTGAGGGCATACAAAATGCTATAGGAAGGAGGCAAACAATTGTTTTGCAGCCTTGTTGGAGATTCCTCAATCCTTTTATCCATTTAGGTTTTCCAAAGAAAATGTAATCTGTTTGCCTGCCTAACTGGAAAACAAGGCAGTATGCCATAAAGAAGTAGCACACTGCTTCATTCTGTATGCAGTTCTTTCAAACTCGGATATGCAGTATGGTCAAAGACAGATTGGGGAATTTAGGGCCAAGAATTCAATTCACCGTGCAAACACATTGCTTCTATGTGTTTTGAGAAAAATCAGACAAGAAATCCCATTTACTTGAAAACTTTATTCTGAATATTTTAACAATACAAATGTTCAATTTAAATATTTAAGTATATTGTAATTAACATAAATGCTTATGAAATAACCTTGAATAATTCAAACTTTGCACCCTATGCAGAAATATCATAGGATGTGAAGGCACCTGCAATTCTTGTTTCTTCCCCAATCCCACCATTAGCCTTTGGTCATTCTTAAATAACAGAAGACAATTTTTTTTAAAAAAATTAATCTTATCCATAACTTAGCATCTTTTTTATTTTCAGTGTTTACTTCCTTTGTCACAGGGGCTTCCCTCCTGACTCTCCCAGAGGAGCCCGATAAGTTGAGCTGCTGTACTGCATGAGTAGATGGTGAACTTATGATCTCTGCCAACACCAGGA